ACAAAACCCAGCTGGAGAAGCTCCAAATTAAGGACGTGGGCATTATCAAACTTGATTAGCAAGCATTAAGTACACGATTAAGCATTAAACAAAGAACCCAAATTGGAGCAAACCCAACACCAACCAGACCATATCCCACAGAACCCAATCGTCGAAAGCTCCAAATTAAGCATTCAAACGACATCATGTAGCGGAAATACCTCCGACGGCGCAGAGAAAGCGAGACCTGGGGACGCATCTGGATCTTGGAGTGAAGGAAGGGGAGGTGGGGAGAGAGATGGAAGCTATGGAGCCGTAGCTGTGAATGCAAGACATGATTGGATGCATTAGAGGAATTGGATTGGAAGTCTCTCTAATCCGAATCTCTTCGCATCTCTCTCTGAAACTCTGGAAGCTTTTTCTGGTGTTTCTCTCTCTCAGCCAAGGCGGAGAAGAAGGGGGACTCAGAGGTGGATGACAATAACGATAAGAGGAAATTTCCCACCGGTGTTGGTTTTCGCCATGTCACCAACGGTCAACGGTAACGAAATTGAAAGCGTTCCGACCATTGTCGTTTAAAGCCATTGCGACGTGCCGTTTTTCTAGGCTCCCTACTAAAGAACAGCGAGATTTGGGACCCCCCCCAATCCTATCCATTGACAATTGACTCAAGAAATACGTATTCCGTTGTTTTGTTTTCGAAAGCAACTTACATAGCTCAAGTATGCCGTACTATAACAATTTGAATTGAGTCGAAATATCATGTGAAGCGACACTAATATGTATCATTGTGTTATTAAATTGGAACATGTCACTATATGAGTTACATGATTCATGTAAGGAGCGCAAATTAAACTTCAGACATCTTATATGGAGAAGAAAATCGAACTTAGATTCTCTCCTGACAGTGAGAAAAGAGGGACAATTAGTCAGTCACAAATCAAAATCAATGGGGACTACATATAGTTTGTTCTTATACTAAAAAAAAATTGAGACTTTTATCGGTGATTTATTCTAATCTATAAAGAGATGATTTGAACTTGGGTATAAAGTTGCGGCCCTGCGGACACACTGCTCTAGCCAATTAGTCTAATCAGTCTTCCACTTGAAGAATGGGGCGTTGATAAGGATTTCTTTGAAGACCTTTGATCACATAAGAAATGAATGTTTTTCGCTATAACAAGTTCGTATATCAAGAACACAAAAACAAATTTACGAGATCAATTACAAACCAAGGAACAAAAAAGGGAAAAGAAGATGATCAGCTGCTAGACTCTAAGATTAGGGATGGAGAGAGGTAGAGAGGATGAATCAGAAAGGGAAAAAATGAATTCAGAAAATAGTATCTATCGTAAGTTTCCGCTTCGGTGGAGATTTCTCTATAATCTGCTTCTGCAAGTCCATGAATGTAGAACCCTTGTTTGCAAATAGTCTTCTAAGATTGATCACGGAAAGTTCATTAAAGCTAGCAACTGCAAGATCGGCCTGCACCAGGTCATACCTGCATTTGCCACCGTCGATCTCAATCAATCTCACAGTATACATGATAGCACGGTACAATACAGAGCCGCGCTTTTGAACATTCATAAAGGAGTAGTTAACGTATGCATATTTGGACATGAGTACATGCGTTTCCAATGTCTATTCTGTAAGTATTAATAATAAGTAAAACTTCTGTATCAGACAGACAAAGAGCGCTATCAAGGGTGAAGCGGATGAAAATACATACGCAGGGTGGGCGCCAATCAATGCCACAGCCATCATTGTACAGTTGTGAGCAGCGGTTATACCCCTAGGCTCATCCTCGAACACAACACACTTGGATGGCTTCCGATCCAGCTGCAAGTAGAATGACTTTCGTCAGAGAATGATACCAGGAATAATTGGGTAAGCTATAACACGTGAACATATATAGACTGACAGACTGACTCCAGACATGCAGAGCCTGCCTTAAGTGAAGATCCAACCTTCCAATTCAAGAGTGACACTCGTAATCCATACTTTGTAAATTAATAGTAGCAAGTTGCACAATACCTTCATAGCTGCTGAAAGAAACCTATGAGCTATTGAATCCATTCCATCTTCCTCTGTCACAATTGCCTGTATCCGCACAAAGATGAAATCGTTCATATAAGTCGAATCAACAAAAACACATGAATGATTCTTGGTTTATCGTTTACGTCTCAATAAGAAATCAAAAGTGGAAGTTGTGACGGTTCGTGATTATGAAAGCATTCAACTCAGTGGTAACTTCCATCGGAAACATTTCTGCAATTCAGAAGGACATGAACCTGAAAGTACTTCTTGAGTCCCATTCGTTCTAGGGCTTCTGTCATGTTTCTCCGATCAAGACTTGAAACTACAGCACAAGGGATACGAGCTGTGGATACAGCATCTAGCCACTCTTTGAGCCCCTCCACAGGTTCACTGAGCTGAAAAACAAGAAAAGGCCGGTAAGATCGTTGCATCTAACAGACAAATAGAATCCCCTTAAAAAGATTACAAGTGGCTTAGCACTCACCCTGAGAAGATTATCATAGTATAATTGCGAAAACTTCAAAGACAATCTATCCAGTTCTCCATCTGCTTTATCCCACAGTAAAAGCTGAAAGTTTTCGGAAACTTGTGAGCTATAGTCAATGAAAGTATCAAGAACTGATGGTTCATACTATAGAAAATGATCATAAATTTGAGAAGAAATAGATAAACACAATCAAACACAACTTCTGAAATGAACACTAATCCCACACCTTATGCAACACATGATCAGCACCTGCATAAAGCATCCGTCTTTGCAAAACTCCATCTTCGGGAAGTTCCTTTCCTGACCAAGAGTCTAAATTTTAGGGAATGAAAGAAAGGTTTTACAAGCACACAAATCATCACATACCAGTTCAACATATAATCCATGAATGGAAAGCCATGCAATGTGCAAATTAAAGAGAATAAATGGATATGTACCCTCTTCGGAAGCAAGCTGCTTCCAAGCATTTAGTTTCAAAGTTTGAGTATCAGCCTGAAACGCATATTTTACGCAATCAGATCTCCTTCTATTAATTGCACATTTAAATCTTTTCTTGATAAGTAAGACGTCATAAATACGATTTTCCACACTTCATTACATTTTTATTTCTAACCATCAGAACCTGAAACACATAACTAATGAGTGTTATAGAAACTTACCACGACATTGTCAAAAGAGAATATAAGACCATAAGCTTCATCCGGTTTCATGGCATATCGTATTCGTTTAAGGAAACCTTCTTGCAGTTTGTCATTCAAAAAATCCTACTCGGAGTATAAATTAACAGTAGTAAGGTCATAGCAACAGAAAGTATAACCAGTAGATTAAATTCGACAGAATATAAATAACAATTTGTCCACTAGACACATAGCTCCATAAATTCCTTACCACATCAACCTTGAGAGGTCCATCAGGTCTAAAAGTCTCAAAACCTTCTCCATATTCAGCTCCAATTGCCTGAAAACACCGAAAAGCGAAGGAAAAACACATCAAAATTACCACCCAAAAATTAGTTAAAATGGAAAATAATCAAAACCCAGAAGCTCTAGTTTCCAAATACCATAAAAGTTGCAAACTAAGGCAAAACTGCAAATTGAAAACGGAAAATTTCCAAGCTTTATAAACCATATAAAACACAAAAACCCAACAAATAAAGAAAACATGTAAAGGGGCATGAGAAATCGCTACCTCCTGCATGAAAAGCTTGTTGGGTGTGGCAGGAAACCCATTTACGGAGCCATTTTCGTTGAACCTGCAAGAGCTCCTGACCACCCTTTGATACTTCGCCGTGCCCAAACGCTTCAGTCTCTGTGAAATCGAAGCAATCAGCAACAAATTAAAGCGAGAATTGCGAAAGAAAGAGGAAGGCTTACCAACAATTTGAGCTTGGAAGGGAAGGAGGAGTGCGGGTGAGGAGATGGGGATCGCCATGGAAGGAGCAAAGACGAGCTTCTGAAACTGCTGCAGGCACAGTCCATCAGAGACGAATATAGGGAGCCTAGAAAGCCCTTCGAACAAGCTTTTGCTGTACTTACAATTTTTATTGTTTATTTGGTATTTTTTTCATATTTTTAATTTTGTGTAATTATCTTGTTTTTCCCAGGGCCGACTTCAACATTTTTCCAATGAAATATTTGTCATTTTAATTCGCACAAAAAAGAGAATATCTCTAATTTTCCTTCTTTTGTTTTCTTCCCTTTTATCCTCATTTCACCAAACCCTTTTTCGGACAACGATTGTCTACCCTCTTCGTGCTCCTCTGTTTGTGTGGTCACGGTTAAACAACGTTAATATTTTATATTACTATTGTTTTTTATCTTTTTATATCTATAAAAAAACAATATAAATATTGACGTGGCTTAACCGTGACCACACAAAATAGAAGAGCATAGGGAGGGCATCGAAAGTAGAGGGCAGACAATCCTTGTCCCCTATTTTCTTCTCACAGGGGAAGTTTTGCTATGCCTTAAACGAGTAACGCTACTAAAACTATAACGAGTAACGCTATTAAAATTATGTTTTGATTGTAATTATAAGAAAAAATCTCTCCTTTATATATAAAATTAGTAACCGAGGCTGCCAGCGTGTTCAGAAATTTGATGAAATGTCCCAAAACCCTAGTGCCCTTGCTTTCGCATCTTCATTTCGTAGATTAGGAGCTCATTTAAAAGCGTTTTTAAAATAACTGAAAATGTTTGTATTGAAAATATTTTTGGAATCAATCCTTAGTAAAAAATGCAAGTAAATTCAGAAAAAACAGCTAAAGATTGCTAGAAGAAGCACCATTCTTCTAAAAAGCAATTCATGTGCTTTTGTATCTAAAAATATTTTCTCTAAAAACATTTTCAGTCACTTTAAAACCAATTCTAAATGAATTTTAGAGTGGTTTAACTTTGTCACATATAAACATTTGTATTAAAATGGAATTTTACGTGCACGATTCTAAAGTGAGAGGTTAAATTTACCACGTACCAGGAACATCATAAATACGATCATAGAGATTCACAATCAAATGCAGTAAATTTGAAACTTCTTGTTACATAAGTGCGAGGCAAAACATTCTCGAGACCATATTATGAGCACAAAACTTCTGGGTCTCATGTATTTCACATCAAAAAGTGAAACCTTTTCAACTCTACATAGGAAATTAACCACCCCTTTGTTACTAACTTACTATACGATAGCCAAATGACTTGCCTTTGAAGAAACAGGTAATGGGAAAAAGGTAATCTCAGAAATGACGAGTCGAACTCGCTCTCTTGCCACGCCTTTCGCTCACTCGCTTGAGTCGGACTGAATCACTTTTTTTGTTTGATCGATTGGAGGCGCTTCCATTACCCCCAAAAACGATCAGCTAAAAAAGGCGATTTCTTAGCTTCCGAATCCTCAAAATCCATGCACCATTTTCCAGTTCCATGAGGTGAACTCATGCACCATTGGCCTGTTTCGGGAGGTAACAAAGTTTAGAGAATTAGCAGGACAATGTTGAATAAGAAACAAGACCGATACAATCGGAAGTGATTTTTGCACTCTTATGTTCTCCTCCAGCACTCGTCCCCTTTTTACTAACAATTAGGGTTAAAGAGGACTAAAGGACAAGAACAAGCAGAGTAGTGCAACAGGAAAACGGAACTTTAACGAAAAACTCTCGGTACTGTTCATTTTAACAAAAAAACCACATTTTTATACTAAAAAATCAATCCTGGTACTATTCATTTTACCCTTTATTTTGTCTTTATCATTAAAACTCAAAGTTTTCAAACTTTTTTCATTAGTTTTCCTAAAAGAAAAACTAGGAGTGTGAAAATCACTATCCGCTCAGCTTCAGACATGAACACACACATTGGGGGGAGAGAGAGAGAGAGAGAGAGACCTGGTAGGTGTGCCAAGATCCAGTTGTAGCAGAGTTAGAGACCTATGGTAGGTGTGCCAAGATCCAGTTGTAGCAGAGTGATCCCAAAATACATGAGAGCCATCAGAATTCTCATAGTCTTCAGAAAACTGTGGCTAAACCATATTATGAACAATTAAAACTAGATATATGATGATTAAAGTATAAACCAACCAGTAATGCGTGACCAAAATTGTATTCTGAGATTTAAGAAAGAAAACACACCTCACCAGGCTTCCCATTGTTCCCGACAGCGGCCGAATCTGCCTCATCATCTACCTGCAAGTTACAACCAATGACCTCGTCCTTAATTCAGTTTACTAGGATTTACATATTGAAGGCTGTATTTTGGCATTGCTAACATGATATCATTTGGGGATTAGAACGGGAATGTCCCAATGATGGTAGTTTAAACCAATCACGTATTGTCATTATTTCCATTTCCTTGCCGAAAAATACATTATTGGCATGAGATAAAACTACAGTGGGAACCCCGTTATAGGTAAGTTTCTCCCCAAGTGATCATGCTAAGAGCCAATGCTACATAAACAGTTGGTAATTTCATGTCAGTGAATTTACCTTAAACTTATCATTTGCTTCTTCAAGTAAAGCTTTCAGGCAAGCCTTGTCGATCTTTTCAGCTTCGGCAACATATGGCTGTCTCTCCTAACAAAACAAGACTCCAAATGAACACAATACAACACATGAATCCCACAATATAACAACTTGGGAGGACTCATAAATATTAAAGATCCAATCTTTACCTTGTCGGACTTGTTCTTCCATGCCTCAAACCCTTCTCGATTAATGGCAACCCAATTTCCAGCCTTGCTTGTCTTGGTAAGCTCTTTCCTGATAAACCCACAAAATAAGGGTTTAATAAAAACACAAGTGATTCCTAAAAAAGCACTTGAAAGTCCTATCATGTACTTCTTGAAAAAAACTTACAAGTACATATGCAACCCATATGCATTTTAAACTTTCTCCTAAACAAAGTTGTAAGAAGTGTTTTTGGTTTAACTACAGTTAAAATCACTTCCAAACAAGTCCGGCTTTGTTTGAGATTGTTTACCGAAGGATTACAAGTGCTCTTGATTGCGTTCAACAAAAATACTTAAAAGTGCTTCTGACTCGTATAGAAATGATTTCTATTAAGCTAGTGCCCAATATTTTTGCACGAAGCACTAGGAATTTCAATAAAAAAATCAACATGCTTCTAATAAAAACACTTCTATCGAAAGTAATTATGAGTGTAACTGTTTTCTAAATAAGCAATTACAAATAACTGAATCAATTGAGAAAAAAAAAACTTACAAGAAGAAATGGCAAGGGGCCCTGATTACAAGCTGGTCCCAAATGCTCTGTTTCTTAACATCCACGCTAACGCCTCTGAACCTCTTCACGTTATCGTTGAATTCACACTCGTGCATCCCAGCCAAAGCAATGGGGACGGAAGCCCCACAGGAATTGCTACAAACAATTTATCAAAATCCCAAAATATTATCCAAATTAAATTACAAAAGAAAATCAAATGTAATTAAACCCAAATAAAATTAAAGAAAAATAATGCATTTTATGCCGCACCATTTCTGAAAGACACTTCCATCGGGAGCTCGACGGATTGCACGAACCCTCTTCCGGGTCCTTCTCGGATTCCCCATTGAAGGACCACCCTGCAACTCTGCAACTTTTGACGTTAAATTTGCAGGTATTTTATAGGACTCGCGTAAATTAGTGGAAGAAATTGCGCACATAAGTATGCATTTTGTGGGCCAACCCACTTGCAGTTTTTTTCCAATATAGAGAAATTTTTAATTGTGACGGGAACATAAGTGGTACACCACGTGTTTTAATAGAAGTTGTGAAAAATTTTATTTCTTAAGTTATTAACTTTTTAGCACACATATCCATCATTTGTAAAGTGACACGTGATGTACCATCCATGTACCGGTCACGTTGAAAAATCTCTCTTCTCCCCACGTGTTGTGGTCCCTAGGGTAGAAGCGGAGTGTACGTTAGTGTAGTTCTATGTGGATTGCCAACTTGCATGCGGGTTTTGGGCGGGCGGGGTTGCTGTAAAATTGAAAAGTTACCTGAAAAGAGAGGTAAAATACATAAAGCTGGGAGGATCCTCTTCAGATTCTCTTCGTGAGGATCTTAGGGATTCTTCAATCATATTCGTTAATCGTATATCGTACGATAAAAAATTATTAAAATTTTTTTATATTTAAAATTGAATATAAATAGTACCTGACAAAAATTAACCGCACGATGTACGATGAACGAATGTGATTGAAATATCCTGGAATTCTCACAAAGAGACTCCGACGAGAATCCTCACTTTACAAAAAGTACGTTTCCCGCGGTAATCTTAGAATGCGCGCAAAGTGGAAATGGCGGCATGGAGCACTATGATTTTTAACGACAATTAGTGACTAGTGTGAAAGCACAATGCCACGATGCCTTTTAAAATTTTATTATTATTGAAGAGATAGGACAAGTTCAAAGCTATTACAATAACTTAAGAAATATGAGTGTTTTGAACTTAGCATGCATGAGTAGTGGTAAATTAAATAATGGGATTATGATTTGGACCAAAAAAAGGCTTCATTGGACCACTTCGTCAAGCATTTGATAGGAGCATGTCGATTCTTGCCAATATCCGTTGAAGACTTATTATGTAAAGGCTTATCAAGGGTGGCTATATAGAAAGATAAAGTAATGTTGAAGATTGACAAGACTTGTCCACTAAAGCATATTGAGCATTTGGGGTGCACAATAGAGTCACACACAAGAAATGAGAAAAGAAAGGCATGGGTGATAATAAAAAAAAATAGAAGAAGAAGTAGGAGGAGGTTGTAATTAAGTTTACCATAACTGTTTATAAGGTCAAATACAATATACATAGGGTTTTTGAAGTTATTGAGGTTATGAACAACCAATGATCCTATGCTGGCTTCGTCGCTGCGTATAAGTGGAAACCTAACACTTTATCTACTAGGATAATAGACCATATATGACACAATGCCTTATATAAATCAAAGAATTTACAAACTTTTATGAATATATGTTATTGATGTTTTGAAAATTTTGGACTTAGATCAAGTTCAAAGTGATAATAACACCTCATTTTTCACTAGTAAATGAGAAACTTGTCAAGAATGAGTCATCATATTTTATCCTTTTATAGTGAATGTGTCGTCTTTGACTATCGATGCATGTACAATAAGCATAGCACTCGAATGGACAAAATCTTATTGGCATGTTTACTTACTAGAATTAGATACACTAAGAAAAAGATGATTCAAATTCTCAACTTCTTCCGCATTTACTAAACACTTAAAGAATCAATATGTGAGTCTCGCTTTAAAATTAGTAATCAAACACCCTCAAAATTGAGAAGGGGAATCAAGCAGTGGGAGTAGTTGATTTGATTCGCATTTGTTACTTTCTTTGTCTACAAGCTTTATGATTCCCTACTGTCCTCAATCCTCGTAAGTAAACATATCATCTATATACATACACAACAACCAATGATCCTATGTTGGCTTCGTCACTATGCATAAGTGGAAACCCAACACTTTATCTACTAGAATATTAGACCACATACATCACAATAACTTATATAAATCAAAGAATTTACAAACTTTTATGAATATATGTTATTGATGTTCTGAAAAATTTGGACTTAGATCAAGTTCAAAGTGATAATAAGACCTCATTTTTCACTAGTGAATGAGAAACTTGTCAAGAATGAGTCATCATATTTGATCTTTTTATAGTGAATGTGTCGTCTTTGACCATGTTTACTTACTAGAATTAGATACACTAAGAAAAAGATGATTCAAATTCCCAACTTCTTCCGCATTTACTAAACACTTAAAGATGTGAGTCTCGCTTTAAAATTAGTAATCAAACACTCTCAAAATTGAGAAGGGGAATCAAGTCGCGGGAGTAGTTGATTTGATTCACATTTGTTACTTTCTACAAGCTTTATGATTCCCTACCATCCTCAATCCTCGTAAGTAAACATATCATCTATATAAATACACAGCAACAACGACCAAGTTTTATCTCACTAAATAAGATCAATTGTTTGAATTCTAAAACACTAATGCGCTCGGCTTTGCGCCAAGCCTTCTGTATCTATATAAACCCATGTGAATTTAAGTACAACCTAAGAAATATAATTACATGTACAAGGTGAAGGTATTTTATTAAAAAACTTCACTCCAATCCATCAAACAAAGTAAAATAAATGTCCAGACTCACTGCATAATACATATTAATAAAATCACCTATACAGACTGCCAAACAATAAAACAACACCTCCAAGACAGACATAGGCAAAACCATAACTCAAAGAGCAAAAGAACTGGATAGAAACTGTTAAACAATCTAATGGTGTCACATTGCATTCGAAGTTTGCATCTTTTTCTTACTCGGCCTCGACAAGGGAAGCGAAATCTGGATGAACCCGAATTTCTTCCTATGTGCTAAAACCGGCTTCTGATCATTTCCTTCCTTCTCGACTTTCGAAGGAAATGTTAAATCCTCCCTCAGAGCATGAAGCATTTCACTCAAGGCTACTCTGTGAGTGTCAGTCTGGCCGCGATCCACTTCCTTTGTTGCCACAAAATCTTCGGGGAGAACTTGCTTCCTGCTAAGTACATCTCTCATCGAGCATGTTGACCTTAAAACTGGCTTCGGGCTATCATTTACTATGACTGACTTGTTCATCTCATTCATCGGAGAGTTCAGGTTATAATCTGGTGATCGGAAATTGTTTAGGTTGTGAATGTTGTAGGCTGCTGCTTGTCCCTTCTGATGGTGCTCGGGTCCCCAACTCTCAAGAGCTTCTTCGGCAGCAAGTTGCTTTCGATTAGCAATTTCTACTTTGTTCAGAGCCTCCTCCAAGAATTGTTTGCTGTGTTTAACTTCTTCCGTTGCTTCTCTCAGCTTCCTCAATATAGCCAGTTTAGAAGTATGAGCTTCATCGATTTGGCGCATGGCATCCACTAGCTTCTTCTTGAACCAGCCCTCAGCTTCTTGAGCTTTCGAGTTTAGAGGAGATTTCATCTGGGAACTAAAACTCATTTTCTCGGGCTCTGGAAGGACGTACCCTGACGAGCTCCCGCCACTCGTTAAAGCCTTGATTTCAGCAAGAGCAACGGCCTCTGCTGCCTTTGCCGCTTCTTCCATCTTTTTAGCTGCAATCCACCTCATTTCAGCAGTCTCCATAATGTTCTTGGAATGCTCATTCCTTGACATTGCCCCAAATGCTTCAAAGTTCGCAGCTTCCACTATTTTACTAAACTGCATATGCTCCCTTGAAACAAATGCTGAATTGCCAAAGCCACTCTTAGTATTTGTTTCTGCATCATCGCCTATTTGTGCCTTCACCTTAATGTTCTTCATCTCCTCCTCTAGTGACGAAACCCCTGCAAACTGCGAAGTCAGCCTGTCCCGGGTCTTTTCAAGTAACACTTTCTCGCTTCGCATCTTCTTATTCAAACATTCGACGGAAGATTGAATCACCCCAAGATCACTGATCGTTTTACCGAGGTTCAATTTTGCTTGCTTCAACTCCATCAAGATCAGATCAGGAGAATTCGGGTAGGGACTCGAATTTCCCATCACGTGTTCATGGTTGTTTCCCGGAGTCCTATAAATTTCCTTGTTCATTTCTTTGATGGCAGGGGATGATAACATGTGTTCTTCCAAATGGGAATCTTGCGGCGAGACTGTCAAGCTTTTCAATGCCTCTTTCTGCAGCTGTCGCTTGAGCTCTTCCACAATCCTTTTTGTTGTTGCCAGTTCTTCAAGAACATCAAGAGTCTCCAGTTCTTTCACAATCAGATCCTTCTCCAACTCAGCTGCCTGCTCCTCCACTTTCTTCAGGTCAAATTCCTCAACCCCATTCTGCTTATCACAATGTTATTGTACATGTGAATTAAAATCACCTCAACACCCGAAAAACTTTGGAAATGCTTAATAATTCAAGAAGCAAACATGATCGAGAAGCAGAAATTATCATAACTAAGTAGGATATATGAAGAAATATGTACTATAATGTACATAGTATATAGATCTCGTTAGTTATTCTCTGGACAAGACGTTGGTTCTTTACTAATATTAAATGATGAACTGTCAGTATAGTATCGCAACAATTTTGGTAAACTACATGTCACTACAAAAAAATGTCGACATACATTGTCTACGTTATTATACAAATATCGAGATTATCAATACAAAATATGTGAACAGCACCGAGAATTTCTGCATTTCATAGGGTATCAATGTAACCAGAATTTAAATATAAGAATGCAAGAAGGTAGACTTACATAGTTTTCTCCGAGCTTGTAGAATGGTATCCAAGACCCCCTCCCGCCAAAACGGGTCACAGCCTCCTCGACCGACCCGAAAGGCGGGGACGTATCAATCACTGCCCTTAAACCCACCCTCCTTATCCCCGGCGGACATGGGGACCCGGGAGCTCCATGTCCATAACCCGAACCGTTGTTAAAACGGAACTCCGTCCCGGTTTCGGGCCTCATTTCGTTTATGCCGGGAGTACCCGGAACCGCTTCGGCGGCCATTGCGGAAAGCTTCGAAATTGTTGAAGCGCAGTTCTTCGCAGCAAGACGAAGGCTTTAAAAAGGAGATTTTGGGCAGGCCCGTGATGGAAAAACCAAACATTCTTTTTAGCTGGTGGTGGTG